TCAGAAAAGCATATAGATATCACTTTCAGCCACCAGATTGGCAAAAAAGAAATAAAAATATTTTAAATGATATTCTGCTGGAGGAGAGAGCAGTTTTATACAGACTGATAGAAATGTAAACTGTTACTGCCTTCTTGCAAAGCAATCTATCAATATAAAATATATACATATTCTTCCACAATAATTTTCTCCGGGGAAATTGTCAACTAGAAATAAAGCACCATTTCATTAGGAAATATGTACAATTGTGTTGATTATTGTCTTGTATAGAAGTAGTTCAGTGAAAGGTACTTTGGAGCCACACTGACTAGTTTAGTGCCTACTGGCTGTATAGGCTTGGGCAAATTTCTTACTCACTCTTGTTCAGTTCCCTACAATGGAGAGAATAACCTTAACTCAGTGAGTTTATACATGTCAAGTGCTAAAAAAGTGCTTTGCATATGAAACACACTCAATAAGTATTAGCTATTATTTATTTAGAGTGGAAAAAAATAAAAACAACTTAACTATCAATTAGAGATAAGTAAATTGATGTTACCTTCATAACCATGAGGCATTATGCAACTATTCATAAGAATTAATTAAATTTATGTGGAGAACCCAGCTGGTGTGGCTCAATGATTGAGTGTCGACCTATGAACCGGGAGGTCACAGTTCGATTCCAGGTCAGGGCATATGCCCGATTGTGGACTCAATCCCCAGTGTGGGGCATGCAGGAGGCAGCTGATCAATGATTCTCTCCCATGATTGATGTTTTTCTCTCTCTTCCACTCTGAAATCAATAAAAATATTAATAATATATATATAGGTGTGGAGAGCTTACTCAGGGTCATTGAATGATAAAAGTTAGATACAGAAAGATGAGATAATTATAATTATAATTATCCTATATGATAAAAGCCTAATATGCTAAGTGCCTGGTCATCTGGTCATCTATTCAACCAATCAAAGCGTAATATGCTAATGATATGCTAAGGCCACTCAACCACTCGCTGTGATGTGCATTGACCACAAGTGGGCAGACACTCTGACCAGTAGGTTAGCTTGCTGCTGGGGTCTGGCAGATTAAGACTAAGTGAGACCAGGCCAGATAAGCCCTGGAGCCCTCCCACGGTCCCTCCCTGGCTGGCCAACCTACTGCATCCCTTCCCAGCCCTGATCGTGCACCAGTGGGGTCCCTCAGCCTGGCCTGTGCCCGCTTGCAATCCAGGACCCATTGGGGGATGTTGGAGAGCTGGTTTCAGCCCGATCCCACAGGCCAGGCAGAGGGACCCCACTGATGCATGGATTTATGCACCGGGCCTCTAGTATTAAAATAATTAGATTAGGAGGAACCAAGATGGCGGCATAGGTACACACTTGTACTTGCTGCCTCGCACAAAAATACAACTAAAAGATGAGACGGATATCATCCAGAACCACAGGAAGGCTGGCTGAGTGGAAATTCTACAACTAGAAGGAAAGAGAAAAGCGGTGCAGAGGTGCTGAAGTGCAGAGGTATGGAGGCGCGCACGGAAACAGGCTGGCTACTGGGTACACTGTTGTCTTTTTTAATCGGGAGGGAGATACAAGCTCCCAATTCCTCTGAACTCCAGTTCCGGGCGAGACTGTGGGGACCCAGACTCATACGGAGAGAAACTGGACTGTCTGGCATCGGGCTGGAACGCGAGGGCTGCTTTCTTGAAGAGGTGCTTGCAGTGGTCATTGTTCCTGCATGGGTCTGTGGGACACAGAGACCCCAGAACCTCTCCAAAGGGGGGCTGATTGGCAGCCATTGAGGTTTGCTCTGCCCTGATGATTCCCTGAAACTCTGCCCCACCCAATTTATAACCCCACCCAAGCTGTGAGCAGAGGCTTTTGCATATGAATGGCCAGTTCTTTTGCAATCTAAAACCTAACAAACTGCAGCTGGGTCAAAGAGCGTCAAAGCCCCCAAAAGAAGGCCTAGTCAACAGCCTGCATTGCTTCAGGGCTGGGCCTCATCTGGGCACTTCCAAACCCCAAACAAAGAGGAGAAATCTGCAGATCTCTCTGTAGCTCCTGCTGGGTGGCCTCAGGCAGTGGCTGACTTCATACCTCTTTGGAGGTCCAAGAGCCAGTGTACCCAGTGGTCATAGTGAAACCATACCAGAGTGCAACTCTTCACATCCATAAGCGACACACTCAAGGGGCAGACTTAGTGAGCACAAAAGCCCCACTGAAGCAAGTCCTGCTCCATGAGGGTGTCTCCAGCACAGCAGGTCTCCTATTGTAGACACAGCTGGTCCTCACAGCCAATTGGCTTGGTGGTCAATTCCTCACAGTGAGACCAACAGCAATCAAGACTTAACTACAAGACTGTGCACAAAGCCTACAAAGGGGTACACCAAGAGTGTCAATCTCGCCCTAACCGGTTTGGCTCAGTGGATAGAGCATTGGCCTGTGGAC